AAGCGTAGCGACTTGGTCAAAAGTGAATATTTTGGCCGTTTCTAAAGATATGGATCCGAAAACTTGGAAATGACAAGAGGAACTTATGAGCATTGAAGTGTAATCGATTTCGAAACCCGACTTTGCCGTGATTGAAGTATATTAGCGAAGGAGAAGGTAAGTTGATGAAAAATATTATTGCGTAATCAGGTTTTACAAAACCGTAGCGACTGTTTTACACTGATATTTCTCCGTTTATAGTCAATCCTTTAGACTGATTTTTCGCTATTTTAGAACACCAAGTATGAGCATTTGGTTAATGTGTTTTTGTTCCCACAGGATTCCAGTTCAGTCATTCTGCGGACAACAACTTGGTGTACTTCCAAATTCTGAAACCCAGCGTTACACAAAGGATACTTAAGAATGATGAATCTTTTCTATGCGTTTTAATAAACTTGAAATGTCAAAGTTTTGCTCAAATGTAGTGTTTATTGTGTGTTATCATTAGGTGTAATTTGTTTGCTCAAACGAGCTTTCTTTTCAGTGAAAAATGTATTTAAAAAATTTTACCACTGAGATTGTGTTACGCGTTACAACCAAAATTGGCTCGATTTTTCATCTTTCACGGGTATTTTCTCAAAGACAGTAATGTGGTTTTCTGATTTTTTGCTTTTACTATAATCAATAAGAACAATTTTACCTGTAAGCAAAGATTTGGCTTCAATGAAAATGTAAAACAGAAGAAATCATTGAAAGTTTGCAGTCAACCCCCTATGGGCATGGTGATTGTGCTACTGATCTCAAAGATAAATTGAAAGAATTTCCTTTAACTCCCAAGATATGATTGTTAATTCTCCCCTCTAGCTGCTCCATGTTTCCTTAGAATTGGTTGAAAAGATTTGGTTTTGGATCAAGATAACTTCTACCTGATAAGTTTCTCATTACCCGTTTGCTGGATTATGTAGAATATTACAAGGAGAAGTTACATGTTAATCACTTCTGGGAGTTAAAGGGTTAAATGAAGATTAATGAATGACCTACCTCCCTGATTTGGTGCCTTCTTTTGCTTTGGAACTCTGGATTGTGACTGTTGATGAACACTGGTGCAGTGATTGTACACATGTCTGAAAACCTGTCAAGGAACTTAACAAACAACAAACACATACATCCACACATAAATTGGCTCAAAGGGTTACCACATTCAAAGATTTTTTCTAAGTACCTTGAATTTTCCCTGAAGATTCTAAAATTCCCTAACCAACTGATGAGCAATTACATAGATGTGACAGTGAAAGGCATAACAGATACTAACAGAAAACCATTTGAACAGTAAAAACACATAGATGACGAATGGTTGACGAATTGTCCTTGAAGTGTTTGTACTGTTTGCCTAACCGTTCAAAGTGAATAAATTATTTAAATGGTTTGGTCAGCCGTTTGAATGGATGAGAAAAAATTTCAAACAGATGAGTAGAAATTTCGAATGGACAGGCAAACCATTTGAATGGGTGAATAAATTATTTCAACAGTTTGATAAGCCGTTTGAATGGTTTGCTTAGCAGCTCAAATGGATGAGTAAAACAGATAATGTCAAACAGACTGGCAAGCCATTCAAATGGATGAAAATATTATTAATCTGTATGATTGATTGTATGATTGGTTTACCAATTAGACAGATGAATAAATTGCTTAAATGGTTTGCAAAACCACTCTGAGCTCATGGCTTGATCATGGAATGGGCAATGTTGCTGTGTATTGTTTTCATTTCATTTGTCGTTATTGTCAATTTCAAGGCCTTTATTACCAATACAATGCCTTTCAATGCCCATTAATTGTATCAAAAAAATTAAAAAGAAACAATGAATAGAAAATAAAAGGAAATATAAACATCATTTCATTAATAAACCTACTTGAACTTGAGCAAAGATATACTGGTCAGGAATCTGTCAACTCTACTAAACAATGTACACAAGTAACATAGACATCATAGAAAGGAAAGTGTCACCATCTCTCATCAGAAAGAGGGCTTAAAGTCCAGATGAATAACTTCACTTTTCTCTACCTTTCTTCAAAGATTCCCTGACTCAAAGTGAAATTCCCTGACTTTTCCCTTGCCTTGAAGGAATTTGTTTTTCCCTGACTTTTTCCTGACCTGTGGCAACCATGAGCTCAAATAATCATACATCACTTTTAAGGGGAAGCAATAGCACTGTGAAACAGAGGAGGTTCAGAAATTGTGGCTTCTGATATAGTGTAAGGTTATCTCATGATGAGGAATTTTTCAAGTGATGATTGCAATAGAAATGTTCCCTCTCTGGATATACCCTTGAAATGGAAATAACAAGTGAAAATACATCTTTCAGATTTGTAGACCAGGCTTAAAGCAAAATCTTTTTTTATCCAGAGACTTTCAGTTTGATACTGAACACATCTTTGTGATGAACCACTGAATTGTTCACAGAGAACTATTTTAGAGTACCAGGGTTGTGAGGGCATGCTGCACTATGCAAATTAAACAAGAACAATACCAACAAACAAACAAACAAACAAATCAGCAAGTACAATTGAGGGAACCCTTTCAATGGCAAAATTTCCTATCTTTCTTTGTATGAGGAAACCATATCCCTGCATGTGAGCAATCAATGAAGTTTTACAGAAAAAGCACTTGAAATTGAATGGCACAGGTGAAGAGCACTCATATTTTCAAAGCCCTATGACTTAGCTTTTGATTCAATTTATAATCCACAAAGTGCCTTTAGACTCACGACCAAAGTCTTGAACAGCGATAAAATGGTTCTGTGGAGTTTTGGTAACACTGTTAAAAGGACCATAACAACTATATAAAAAATCACTTTGTTGATTACAGTAGTGCAATACCTAGTGTATACAACACCATGACATGTTTCACAACCAGAAGGATACGTGTAAAGTTCCATGTAGCGTGGTTTAGACATACTTTGTTGCTTATAAACATGCTGTATTCCTTCTCTAAGGTCATCCCAGATTTCATCTAAAGTAATTTGACGTAATCCATGAGGATTTTGTGTCCTAGAAGCCATCGTGTTCATTATTGTAGCCTCAACGAACGCAAGCTATCGTAAGACGGGCTTCTTGGAAAAAAAATGCTTTCCTTGTGACTCAGAGGAAAGCTTCGCAGCTCTCTTTACCAATAAAACTATCCTCCAAAAGATAACAGTGACAGTTATAAACTTACAAGCTTCATCCCAAACGAGAAGAGTTCACAGTTTGACAACTCAGATGCATATACAGTCGCCAACCCAACTGAATGGTTGAAATAAATGCTTGTTTTATCGCGTAAAAGGCGTCAATCAGGCACGGTTTCTTTAAGATATAAAATCCATTCCTTTATCCTGAGGTCTACTTGAAAAATACTCCGTGCCTGGACAAAGATATCATCTTTTTATGACTTTCTTTTTCGTACATAGCCGGAGGAACGTAAAAGTAATATGGCTGCAGGTCTGTGACGTCACAAAGCCAAGACCGAAATGCATGCTCACCCGCGCCTTTCAAATAAATTCCGTGTCACGCGGTTTAATCTGCAGCGGACAAAAGGAGGAGAAATTATTTTTTCTTTCCGTAAATTTCCCATAGATATAAGAAAATTATATCAGAATAGTAGATAAAATATGGCCGTGAATCTTAAGGATCTAATCCCTTGAATTTATCTATAAACTGGCCAGCTGGGACTGTAAGATCATTCTGAGTCCTCAGATAAATAACTTGCCTCCTTGGTTACTTCTATCATTTGTCAGTATGATTTTTTCAAAACGAAACAAGCAGAAATAAAAAGTGAATTATTCACAAAAAATACAAACAAACAGGACCTAACTAGAAAATTTTTTTAAGGCAACGAGAATCCTCAGATGGTAGAAAATGATAGTCTCTCCCTCCCTAAAGTGGGGGGGGGGGGGGGGGGGGGGGGGAATTCCTAGTAATAGGCTGCTAGAGATGATCAGCTGGATGGAGTCGCATTTTCACCATTTTCAGTAGAGTTACTAGAATGGGGTCACGCATTTCCAGAATCTTGGGGATAGGAAAATTCAATTTTTGTTTGCCTGATCATGACTACTATAATTTGTTATTGCCATCTTTTGCAATTCTAATACAACACCGCCACCTTTGGTAGATCTAAAAAGTCTCAGCCATATTTCATAAGTATGCATCAACTCCTAAAACTATGTTTGGCTTTAGAAGCTTTCTTTTTAAATAACTGAGGTTGTTGAACTCATCAGAAATGAACCTATATTTCCGCATGTCTACTGTTTGATGATCATTAGGGACGAAATTCTGAGAATTTGTGCGGAGTAATGCCATAAAATGTAAAGTTCGTATTATTGTGGAGTGAAATTCTTGTTGTATTGTTTATTATGCAGTTTTCGATTATTTTGCTGATTATTATTTTTTCGGTTGACCTTGGGAACTAAAAACCTGTCTGTACACATGCTTGTCGTAGGTTCGATACAGGTGGGCATATTTGAGATTTCTCCAGAGCAGGCTAATAACAAACACTAAATATGATGGTATTTTGTGATTTTGCACGTTCCATATGTTGTATTAGAATTGCAAAAGATGGCAATAACAAATTGTAGTAGTCATGATCAGGCGAACAAAAATTCAAACTGTCACTAGGAACCAAATGGCAAAACATTGAAATAATACTAGAAAATGGTATTCCTAATTGTTGCTGACTCTGATTCCATAATAAATCGAAGGAACAGAAGGATATCGCATATACTCTTCGTTTTCGCATATCTTAATTTTGCAGATGTGTATAAGTTATTTTCGCTTTTTAGTCATGGCTTTCGGAAATGGCGCAGGGTTGAATGATATTTTAGAATTCAGGGTTAATGGGTCAAAGTCAATAAGGCAAAGCGTCACAAACTGGTTAAATTACGTTAATATTTTACCCTGTATTTCACTCAATTCTTATCATTGCGGGGGAGATTACCAGTTTTCTACTAATGCATTAGGCGGACGGCTAAATCCGGCAACAAAGTGTGTCAACTAAAAACCGGAAAACAATATAAGAGTACCATGAATTCTCATAAGTTTCCGTATTTTTATAATACCTTATCATAGGTTCAGTTGTTTCTCGGATCGTGGAAAATTGTCGTTGAGTATTAGTTTAACGGGGAAAAAACGAAACAAGGATGGTTTGAATTAAATCAAAACGGATTAAAGTGAAAAACATCATTGACAAATGCGGAAAATTTGGGCTGAGTTCTCGAGATTTTTTAGCTTTTTATTAAGAGGGCTCTGTAAGCTCAATTTGACAGTTTGAGATATTCCAGTTATTTTTTTTTAACCTGGCATCAATTCAATTTGTTGTAGTTTCATTGTACAAGCTGTAAAAGGACACTTGATCTCTGTATTGCAAAAATGTTTGTCCCCTTCTAAGATTCAAAAAAGATTCACCTCGCGATAACTTGACAATTAGACAGAGATTTATTGAACGCAAAACTCAGTTCAGTACAGTACGTACTAGTAGAATAGGACAGGATACTTCTGTCAATGTTTCTGCAATATTCATTGTATTTTTAACAAAAGCATCGGGACATTTCACTTCCTTAGCATCGACCTTTATTTACGGTGCAAAACTAAATCAGTGCAAAGTGAAATGCAGCAACTTTCTCCACTATGAACCGTTTTTCCAGCATGAGAAGTTACGGAACTTAAAATTAAGTGTAACAGATCATAAGACTACAAAACATTCGTCTGGAAAATAAAACGTAGCTTACCTCTTTCTTGTCTAAATTAGACTACTTTGATGACAAAGTTACTCTTCATTTCAGCTGGATCGATCCCCAATTAGCACTGGCGCGTGTTCAACTTCCCAGTATTTACAATATGACGGGAAGTTTTTTGGTAAAGATTCTCATTTATATTTATTCTCAATATTTTCATCATAGTCTTTCCGGAAAAGATCTTCATAATATAACTTCAATATAGTTTGCATTCGGTCCATCAATTTGAAAGGCATTAAATTTAGTTTGAATATCGTTACACCAAACTTGGAGAAAATTCCCGGCTTTCTTAAGCAAACTCTGGCCTATTCTCTCTCTTTTCAAACCCCTCTCTCTCACCCTGGGGCGAGAGAATGAGAGAACCTGGGAACGAATTTGGTTCTTGAGATTGAAGTCTGTGGTCAGGTCTTGCTGATAAGATTATTTTAGCAAAAATCATACAAATCAACTCCAGAAATTTGATTGAAATTTTTGTTCGAATGTTCTTGATTGCTCTATTACTTTTAGTGAGAAGTTGACTGACGCAGGCAACAACTCTACACAGCTGTGCCTTGTTTCAGGCAGAAACTTGCAGATTTGGGAGTGAAAAAAATTTCATGAATCAAGTGCATCATTTATTTTGATAGGAACTCATATGCATAAGTGTTTTAAGAGTTAAGCCCTCAACGTTGTTCATGTTGAGTAAGAAGGAATAGCCTTAATCCTTTACTCCCATGGGTGACCAAGACAGAATTTCACCTAAGAATATCAATACAATAATTTCTAACAGACAGGTGAAAGAAATATATCAATTGGGGATTATTAGTTGATCCAAAACCAAAATCTCCAATCTAGCATCAAAAACATAACTAAGTAAATTAAAGAACAAGACAACTTTATATATTTTTTTAAATTTCATTTTGACTTAACTGAAGAAAGCTAAAACTGTGGCTTTTCTCACACGAAGTAGAAATAACGGGATGTAGCAGAGAGAAAGACGGAAATTGTAATAACTAGCAGATTTGCGATTGCTGTCGCTCCCTCACGATAGCTCTGATGACACGTCAATCAGTAGATGAGCTGAAAAAGACAGCTGATGATGTAAATTTCCGCAAAAAGAGATTATTAAAGCGAAACCTGAAACCCACGCGACTCCCTCGGTGCAGGGTCAGTTTATCGTCTGACAGCACTGGAATACAGTTTACGTAAAGATCACAGTAGAAATTCCTCGTAAAACCTTACGTGCAAGAGAGTGAGTAATCGACAATCCCTCGAGTCAGGAATTTTCGGATATATTGACTTACAACGATAGTGAAACTCAAGTATCATATTAAGCTTTCTTCAGGATTTTAATCAACAAAAACACTTAATCTTGGTGTCGCTGTCCGCTCAGTAGAAATGTCTGGTGACTGCGGACTCATCCTTAAGTAAATTTTAAAGAAATTAACTAGTACCTAGGCTAGTGCCCGTCTAGTACTTGTTTCATCGTATGTGTTTGGTATTCTATTAATATCCTTTATCTTGAAGCCGGCAGAACGATGTGTCGTCCAAGAGTTACTGCAGTCTTGCTCATGTTCATTCCTTGTTTGGTTTTCTCCGCGGAGATTCCGAATATCTTGCCGGGTGATGTTGCTCCTTCATTTGTTCTTCAAGCAAAGGAAGTAATTCATGGTACCGACGTACTTCTCAGATATGGAGGCAACGATTCCAACATCCAAGGACCCATTGTGTTCCTCGCGTATACCGACCGCTCAGGATTCTTAGATCGTCTTCTATCCGACCCAGATTGCTTCAAGACTCTGATGGAGAACTCCCCTGACAATACGAATTACGTGTTTCTTTTTTATGCGACTTCTTCATCTTCGGTCAAAGATGCTGCTGACCAGCTCGCTCGGAGATTTAAAGAAGCAATGTATAACTACTTTTTTCGGTAAGTCCTATGTCCCTCAGAATTGCTTTTCATTCTCGCGTTAATTAACTACATTGAGATTGTTGTGACCCGAATGAGTTCCGAAATACAAAAGCAGGCTTCTTCAAGATAGCGATACTAGAGTATTGTGACCCGAAAGAGTTCCGAAATACACGAGCAGGCCTCTTCACAACAGTGATACTAGCTAAGAAATTGCAACATCTTGGCCGACAAGGACCATTTTTACCTAAGGTGCAATATTTTGGAAAATTAACCCAAGTTTCGTGATCCGGAAGTCACGAATTTCACTTCCTTTCGCTAAACCCGAGCGGAAATGTTTTTCGCCATGAACACAATGCTGAACGACACTGATACAATCGGAAAGAGGCGCTGAAATTGAGGTTCAGGCAATCTTGATTTTCCGTTTGTTGACTTCTTTACCTCGGAGGGTCCTGACTTTTTACAACAGTGAGATCAATCCCTATATACATGCCGGCCAAGAGTGAGGTTTATTGGATTAGTAACTCTGGGATGCACTCATGTATTCATTGAATATAGTGTTGGCCACCCTCATGAAATGAAATAAACATCTGTCACTCTTCAATTCTATTTCATTAAGAGCACTACCATCTTGGGTCCGCGGCAGCTGTGAACCTTGCTCCGGGTAAAGGATTCTTAGAACACTTTTGGCAAAAAGCCACCAGCGTAGATTTGCTGTCCAAAGAAAACTGAAACCCTTGATATATTAGTTAGTAACACAACATAAACAAAAGGAACTTGAAATAGCACGTCCCAAAAATTATCAAAGTTTACTGCTTACATTACAACTGTAAGAGCAGCTGAAACCATTTACTATAGTAATTAATAATATACACGAAAAAATTACGCGGGTCTGATTAGCTGAAAACGAGTGCATTTTTCATGTAACACAAGTGCAACTTACAAATAGCGCGCGCGCTATTTGTAAGTTGCACTTGTCGGAGTATTTTAAGGGGGATCATATGGTTTTCAGGAGGAACAGATGTAGTTTAGGTAACAGAATATAAATGGGGGAAGATAGAAAATTGACTGCCTATTAACTGCTATTAAAGAAAGGGGGGGGCATATATATTGCATAATCTTATGAGGCGATCAGGTAAATTTCATCGTGACATAACCAAAGGAAACGTGTGAATCGGAATTTACAGGCTTCATTGCTGTTGCAGATCCAGCAGGTCCCTCGAATTCTCCCGGGTAAGGAGATTCCCTACCTTGACCGCGAGAATGGGAACATTACTGGATTTCAGTAACAACTGGCTTTCGCGGGTACATATTGCGACATTTCCTGTATTTACTCTCGGAAATTGGATCCCGCGGGTGCTATCTCAGTGGTATTGTTCCGGGCACGGGTGTGGCTTTGCCCAGATCGTCATTGAAAATGATAAAGGTACTGCCATACATTTAGAGAATTAGTTTAGACACAAGAAATCAACTGTCAGAGACGGACAATCGGGCAGTTTTCCTGAATGTAAGGATTCCATCAACTTAACTTTAGTCTCAGACGGAAACGGAAGTTTGTTTCTCCAGACTTCTGCACTTTAGATTCTTGCTTTAAAATAATAATACTAACACTCTTACTCTTAAAAGTCGTCTTTATCGACAAAACCAATCTCTAGGTCAGGCTTCATGCACACCTATAAGAAACATGCTTCGTTCTGCCGGAAACTGTCAGAAAGGGAAGACAGTGTATCTTAAAACTAAGACCAAGAGCTTCTTTTTCTGTTCCCTCTTCGTAAATAATTATAAATACCATTAGCTTTACTTGATCTATTTTGAATTTTCACATTACGCATTTTGTACTAAAGTTGTGTCGAATACTATTAGGAAAGGACATTATCCTGTTTTGAGTACGGTCTTATTACCTTTCTTTGTTTAAATATCAATGCTAATAACTTGTACTTTTTGACTTTAATGAAGGTGAAATCCACATGGTGTCAAAGCGTTTAGATGCACGCTATGATTGGCTGCCGTCTCCAGACACGCTCGCAAAATACGGACATTTGCAAGTGGCGTTTGTTGGAGATGCCTGCAATGCCAGCTCGTTTGTGAATCCTGTAAATGGTAAACTTGCCCTCGTTTCAATGGAGGGCGTCCAATGTTCATACTTTACAAAGGTTAGTTGCTGTTTTTTCCATCGCCCAGAATGCTATTGTCTTTCGCGACATGTACTTGCAGTGCCCATTTAATCAGCGGGCAGCATAATAATTTGCATATCCTGAACCAGTCGGTTGTGATTGGTCAGCAGGTAAAGCTTTGGGAATACATGAGTCTCTTTGCAGATTTCAGCTGCTGTCAATCAAACGGTTGGATGCGTAAAGTAAATCCCAAGGTGACATAAAGTGAACAATAGCAATAATGAACAATAGCCACGCTCTTAACAAAGCGTTTAGCAAATTCGTTTGCAGCGAATAGTCCATTTTACAGTTGTGTGCTTGGTTGCCAAGCCTTTGAACAGGAGTG